GGCCCTTGTACGTACTCTTCCTCTGATTGATCGACATGTGCCACAAAGGTCGCCTCTGAAGTATTAGTGATACCTATAAAAAGCAAATCAGATTTTTTTTGTCATGCATTGATTTGGCTTAATTACATAAAGGGATCGGAAGAGGGTCTCTGTGTTTTTGTGTTGTGTGTTGTGAGTTGTGGTAAAGCACATAGCCTATCATAGTCTTTGTTGGGCGGGTCCTTTAATATCTTTGAGCTCTCATTGGATATATTTGCGTAACGTCACACGTGACCCATTTGTGTGCACAATGCATGAGCACTGATCACAGACCCCTGTCCGTGAATAATGATATACGTTGCGCTCCATGGTTTGCGCCACGATTCTGGCTTGGTGATCGGCTATCCGTTAATAAGGGTAAAATCGCAAAGGATAAGACTCTTACCGACTAGGTAGACCGCTTCGCCATTTGCGACATTGAAGCGGAATCCAACCACATCCGTCGTAACGACAGCAAACGAGAACTGGTCAAAGGCCGAGTTGACTTGGCCTCTCTCGGGGTAAGGACCCAACCAACCTTCGCCCTGCCTTTGAAACGTGGCACAGGGTGGTGCCTCGCCGTTGGCGGCTTTTCCTGAATTGAAAAACAATAGCACGCAAGCGCTTTTAAAGGTGTATTGTCGGTGGTATTTTCGAGTTCCAACCCCCCCCCCCGAAAAGTAATGTTTGTTTCTAAGTGTTAGTTTTCTCCAACATAACAAGAGTGATTCACTTTTTAATGAGACATCTAACGAACACAGGGTGGTTCCTCGCCGTTGGCGGGTTTTCCTGAATTGAGAAAAAAAAACAAAAACACGCAAGCACCTTTAAAGATGTATATACTGACCGTGGTATTTTCGAGTTCCACCCCCCCCAAAAAAAGTCTGCATGCTTTTAATTGCATTTTTCTATAGCAAAACAAAAGTGAATCACTTTTTAATGAGACCTCCAACGAAACAAATATAATATACAAATTTCTAATTATTTTCGGCCCGACAAAAATGCATGCAGTTCTCACACTGCACACTTGCTCTGGCCCCTTTTATAGTATCGACAGAAGACCGGGAAGTAGTCTACTTGTTGGGTTGATCCGTATGTGAAAAGAGGTAACTTGAAAATAAAATTCACTTATTAGTGGGTTGCAGACGCGTTTGACGTACCATTCTTGACGGGTTTCAAGTTCAACGCCTGACGGTCACCGCCGATCGTCGTCCGCTTGGTGTGGAGCGGTCGCGTGTTCAAGCCGCCGAGTCGATATGCCGTGCACTCGGTCCGATTTGCCGTGGTAAGAGACCACAGCAAACCCGTCGAGTCAGGGCCGGGCTCCTGGCCTGGGTAGCACACACGACCATTCACTGCAAAGAAAATATAATGAAGAGAACAAAAGATTTGAAATTGGAATTTAATTGACCTTTTTATACCCCATCTGCCTTTTTTTTTCTGTTAGACCCTCCCCTCTTAACAGCTATGCCCCTCCCCATTAAGTACAGCCTATTTGACAGCTGATCTTAGAAGCTCTTTATAGTCAGAGTAATTAGTTGTTTACGTGATGAACTAATTGTTTTACATTTTTTACCAGCGTTTCGTCCGGTCGAGTTAATCAACAAAATACGTAACTTTGGAGCTGTATACTACTGAAACAGAATGTGAATTTTGCCTCCCCCATCCAAAAAACAACAACCCCCAAACAAACAAAAACCCAAACACCCCAACAAACAAACAAACAAGGGACTCTACAATGATAGTGCACCATTTTTTAAAATCATTTCTGGCGGGCCCGTTCTTACCTTCGAAAGCAATTGCAGCAAGTAGAACACCAAAGAAGATCTGTACAAACAAATTCATTTTGACATGGACAGGTGACAACCAGATCCGCATAAACTGTCTGCCCCGGTGTTTTCAAAATATTGTCAGCGAGTGTTTTAAATGAAATGATCGCACGCTCTCTGTTGTCAGTTGTGATGTGCACGATTGGGCTGTTTTGTAGGTAGTTTTAAGGCATGGAGCGACTATTAACGAAGCAATAAAGAAAAAAGGCAATCGGATTCCCTTTTCCATGGACCACCAAACGCTAGCGATCAATAAAAAGAGCAATTAACGCTAACAACTGACACATGACCTCAATTTCTTTTTTTATTACTTTTCATTATTTAATCTCTGCATGCAGAAATTGGGTCTGAGCTGCTTAGTTCACACCGCCAGTTTTTGAGTCGGTACATTTCTGGTACAATTATTGGTGACAATGGAGATTTTGATAGGCTGATTAAAGAAATACAAAATTCAGTTTGCGTCAAGCACTGACAAATTATGCTAATCTTTTTACACGTATAGCGCGGCCATGGCATTCATAATGCAATTCAATGGCCATTAAAGTGTATTAATTTGGTCAGTAGTAATTGAAATGTATTTGGTTGAGTTGTTCATACATTTATCTGATATTTTGGAGCTTAATCAGTCATCCATTTTTTGTCAGTACAAATAACTTGGGCGAGTTATTGTTCCCATCTTAATTTTGCCATTATTCCTTGTAATGACGCATTTGCCGCCCATAGTATTTCTTTATGCAAAATAGGAAACTTTTGCGCAATCTGATTGGTTCCCCGAAAATCAGCGGCTGTGTTGACCTTTGGCCGGCTGTTTGGTGACCTTTGCAAATCGCGGGAACGAAACGAACCACTTTTGTGCATGCGATATACCGGGCGTACGTATGGCCTACATGTAAAGCTTGTGTTTTGGATTTCAATCCCAGAAAATTTGATTCGGATAATTCTTCTTAATCTTAAGTCTTCTGTTGAAGTGACTATATTCTCCATTGAGGTTACTATAATAATTATTGTCATTTTTATGCACCGTTACTAAGGGTGCATTTTATCATTTCTGGCGGGCACGTTCTTACCTTCGAAAGCAACTGCAGCAAGTAGTACACCAAAAAAGATCTGTACAAACAAATTCATGTTGACTTAATTGGACAGGTGACAACCAGATCCGCATAAACTGTCTGCCCCGGTGTTTTCAAAATATTGTCAGCGAGTGTTTTAAATGAAATGATCGCACGCTCTCTGTTGTCAGTTGTGATGTGCTCGATTGGGCTGTTTTGTAGGTAGTTTTAAGGCATGGAGCGACTATTAACGAAGCAATAAAGAAAAAAGCAATCGGATTCCCTTTTCTATGGACCACCAAACGCTAGCGATCAATAAAAAGAGCAATTAACGCTAACAACTGACACATGACCTCAATTTCTTTTTTTATTACTTTTCATTATTTAATCTCTGCATGCAGAAATTGGGTCTGAGCTGCTTAGTTCACACCGACAGTTTTGGAGTCGGTACATTTCTGGTACAATTATTGGTGACAATGGAGATTTTGATAGGCTGATTAAAGAAATACAAAATTCAGTTTGCGTCAAGCACTGACAAATTATGCTAATCTTTTTACACGTATAGCGCGGCCATAGCATTTATAATGCAATTCAATGGCCATTAAAGTGTATTAATTTGGTCAGTAGTAATTGAAATGTATTTGGTTGAGTTGTTCATACATTTATCTGATATTTTGGGGCTTATCAGTCATCCATTTTTTGTCAGTACAAATAACTAGGGCGAGTTATTGTTCCCATCTTAATTTTGCCATTTTTCCTTGTAATGACGCATTTGCCGCCCATAGTATTTCTTTATGCAAAATAGGAAACTTTTGCGAAATCTGATTGGTTCCCCGAAAATCAGCGACTGTGTTGACCTTTGGCCGGCTGTTTGGTGACCTTTGCATGCAAATCGCGGGAACGAAACGAACCACTTTTGTGCATGCGATATACCGGGCGTACGTATGGCCTACATGTAAAGCTTGTGTTTTGGATTTCAATCCCAGAAAATTTGATTCGGATAATTCTTCTTAATCTTAAGTCTTCTGTTGAAGTGACTATATTCTCCATTGAGGTTACTATAATAATTATTGTCATTTTTATGCACCGTTACTAAGGGTGCATTTTATCATTTCTGGCGGGCACGTTCTTACCTTCGAAAGCAATTGCAGCAAGAAGTACACCAAAAAAGATCTGTACAAACAAATTCATGTTGACTTAATTGGACAGGTGACAACCAGATCCGCATAAACTGTCTGCCCCGGTGTTTTCAAAATATTGTCAGCGAGTGTTTTAAATGAAATGATCGCACGCTCTCTGTTGTCAGTTGTGATGTGCACGATTGGGCTGTTTTGTAGGTAGTTTTAAGGCATGGAGCGACTATTAACGAAGCAATAAAGAAAAAAGGCAATCGGATTCCCTGTTCTATGGACCACCAAACGCTAGCGATCAATAAAAAGAGCAATTAACGCTAACAACTGACACCTCAATTTCTTTTTTATTACTTTACATTATTGTAAGCCTTTCTCTGCATGCAGAAATTGGGTCTGAGCTGCTTAGTTCACACCGCCAGTTTTGGAGTCGGTACATTTCTGGTACAATTATTGGTGACAATGGAGATTTTGATAGGCTGATTAAAGAAATACAAAATTCAGTTTGCGTCAAGCACTGACAAATTATGCTAATCTTTTTACACGTATAGCGCGGCCATGGCATTCATAATGCAATTCAATGGCCATTAAAGTGTATTAATTTGGTCAGTAGTAATTGAAATGTATTTGGTTGAGTTGTTCATACATTTATCTGATATTTTGGAGCTTAATCAGTCATCCATTTTTTGTCAGTACAAATAACTTGGGCGAGTTATTGTTCCCATCTTAATTTTGCCATTATTCCTTGTAATGACGCATTTGCCGCCCATAGTATTTCTTTATGCAAAATAGGAAACTTTTGCGCAATCTGATTGGTTCCCCGAAAATCAGCGGCTGTGTTGACCTTTGGCCGGCTGTTTGGTGACCTTTGCAAATCGCGGGAACGAAAAGAACCACTTTAGTTTCATGACTTTTGTGCATGCGATAATTATACCGGTCGTATGTGTATTAAAAGGTGGTGTTTGTTTTGAAAGTTTGACTCGGATAATTCTTCTTAAGTCTTCTGTTGACGTGACTATATTCTCCATTGAGCTTACCTTTTTACTCGGTTATTGGCAGGCTAACGTTGTAGGCCTAATTTGCACCAATTTTCTGTCACTTGAGAAGTTCATTTTGGCAAGAACAAGTCCGAAACGAAAGTCGGTGCTTGCTAAATTAATATTGTAGCCGCTGCGCCGTGTTGCATTTCATTTTCAAGGTTGCCGTTAATAGGCCTACTATTTGAGTATTTCGTGGAAGTTTTGAGAGAGTTATGGCCAAGAAGAATCGTTCATCAAGGTAAGCTGATATTTGATAAGGCCTGTGATTTTTGGGTAGGGATGATTGATTGGGAAAAGTCAAAACTGAAAAAGGGTAAGTTTTACTTCACGCAGTGGCTATCGTTACGGCAGCCGTAACGCATTTCCCATTTTCTATCGTTACGGTAGTATAAAAACATGAGAAGAAAATATAAAATCAGAAGGAAAAAAGTGAATTTGAACGTTATGAAATTCGGACTTTATTTCCCTTTTAAAAAAAATCCTCCAAGTCCAAAGCCTCGGGTTAAAAAAGGAAAAAAAATCGAGTGCAAAACTGAGATGCAAACCCGCAACCTCGCAGTGCAAAATCCTGCTCTCTATCGACTGACCTGTTGCACTGCTCGCTAAAACGTGGGGAAAACAAATAATTATATAGGCCTACCTGCGTGCGTATCAAAAAAGTATCATAGAGGGCGCTAAACAACGGCTGCCGTAATGATAGCCACTTCGTTTACTTTATCAACATGATCATGTTTAGGCCTAGGCCTATCTGTTTATGACCCAAACTGCATGAACTGAATGCCCGCGTCATGCATGTGAATGATGACACTTGACCTTGACCAAGTTGACTATCATGACTATGTCTATGTAACAGATCGGACCAACTTTTAATGTCATGCATGTTTACGTCACCCAATGTCATGAATGTAACTTTTTAGCCAATCAATGTCATTTAATAAGCCCGAATGTTTTTCGTAGTGGCTATCCATCATGGTCATGGCCGTAGACCTAATGCGATTTACAACTGCTATCGTTACCATGGTTACTGTATTGCAAAATTACCATTGCAAATTCTATAACTAGGCCTAGGCCTAGGGCCTACCTGTCCAACCAGATACCTTTGTGATCACACCATCTGACCATGATGATGGTGATTTACACTAGCATGACTAGGCCTACACGTTTGGCTACTGTGACGGGATCAGGGTTTCAAAACTGCTACCGTGTTGCGTGACCGAAAGGAGTTGAAAATTGCATTACAACTGCTGTAACGATAGTCACTGCAAAAAGCAAAATGTTAGGCCTAATTTATGAACACAGAACAGCGCCATTTAAAGTTTAACATTTTTTGATCTCCTTAACATGCTTAACCAGCAACCTGGTAACATGATACTTTTGATAGAGACAGAACCCTAGCTAGGCTACTATCGACTGCTTTTAAGCCAAGGCCTACTTTTTAGTTGGAAAACACTGAATTTCAATTAAATTTTCATTTTCCAGGTCCAAAGCTGTTGAGGACCCCCAGGATCTTGCCCCGATGGCCGAACCAGCTGTAGGTGACTTGCCGGACGCAGCCAGTGAGGGCGCTTCAGAACCCAGCATGCCCGAGGCAGCGAGGGAGATACCAGGAACGTCGTCAGATACAGCTCAGGTGGCAGTGGCGCAGTCCGCGACAAGAGAAAAAGCCTGCTGCACTGAAGACGAGCCTTCGGAGGCAGATGACGCGAATTCCGACGATACACTCAAACTCCAAGGTACATGTGCATACTTGTTTGCCTACTCAGTAGGGCCAGTACTATGCCATGAAGCAGGAAGTTTTGCTAGTGCCGCTCTATCTGCATGGGCGTCGCGAGGGGGGGGCAAGGGGGGGCACTTGCCCCCCCCTGGAAAAGCCAAAAAAAAAAAAAAAAGAAGAAGAAAAAGAAAAGAAAAAAAGAAAAGAAAAAGAGGCGCGAAGACAAAGTGGTGTAAATTTAATGAGTTGGGGGGGGGGGGGGCAAATTGTCCCTGCCCCCCTCTAAAACTGATAAATCGAGAATGTGTTGAGAAATACAAACATTTTTTGGCAATTTTTTTTTTTTGCCCCCCTCTAGAAAAAATCCTGGCGACGCCCATGTCTATCTGTGTGTGTTGGTGACCTGTAATTTCTTTGAAACATCTTGGAGGGTGGGGGTGACTACACACCAAGTGGAGCCATTCATGGGAAAACTTACAGATTGTAGTCTGCATGTTAAACTAAGGGAATATTTGCTTTTGCTGTAATTTTCAGAAATGGATGGAATTGGGGGGTTGGAAATATATAGCAAATATAGTTACACTGACTTTTGTTAGGTTTTGGGTTCGAAAATGCTATAAAAACCAAGAAAACCAATCATTTTCCTATAGTCTGGTTCCCTGACTCCATTTAAGAAGAAACAACAGTTTACATACATTGGGGAATCGTAAGGTCAGGGAACCAGTCTAGCTGGCTTGTACCCGTTCATAGGTGTGTAATCGATTGCAAACAAGTGCGATGGTCAACTGGGGCCAGTATTTGAAAAAAAAGCCATTTTTTTCAACGCTGGTCAGCCGATCAGCGTTGGAAATTGATACCACTTTTCTTGAAAATGACAGTATACCAGGTGCCATGATTTTACAGGATGCTCTACACTGTCATTCACTAACAGTCCAGCAAGGTATTTCAAAATGATTTGGTAGTTTTATTTTTTGATGTTTGCAAATGTTGTATTTTCCCTTTAAGCTGATTATTGTTTATGTAGCATTAAATAAGTAATAGATGGGCAATTGCATGTATGCTGAAACTATTTCATGGTGGAATTTTTTTTCTAAATTTCTTTATCTCTGACAAGATAATTTTTTTATTGGGGGGACATTACTTGAAAGTAATGAAGAAAATTCAGGTGAAAATTGGTGGTGGATACTAGAGATATATAGTCAAGTCCATCACAAGTCCCTACGAGTTCATCACAAGTCCTCCAGTCCTAATTCAAAACACAAGCTATTCAAATGAGCTTTGACATTTACTGTTCATAGAATCCACTGTTTCATGTGACTGGACTTGTATATGGACTCGTTGCTTGTGACTGGACTTGTGATGGACTTGGGATGAACTTGTGATTGACTTGTGATGGACTTGTGATGGACATGTGAATGGAGTTGTGGTGGACTTGTGATGGACTTGTGATGGATTTGTGATGGACTTGTGATGGACTTGTGATGGACTTGTGATGGACTTGTGATGGACTTGCGATTGACGTGTGATGGACTTGTGATGGACTTGTGATGACTTGTGATGGATTGTGATGGATTTGTGATGGACTTGTGATGGACTTGTGATGGTTTTGCGATTGACGTGTGATTGACTTGTGATGGACCTGTGATTTGAACTTGTGACGGAATTGTGATGGACTTGTGACACAAGCCACATCTTGTGAGTGGTCACACGGTGTCATCTACTCCCGGTTTCTGCACAAACTTCCTAATCCTACCGACCTTAAATTAAATTTGAATAATTTAATTATATCATGATGGATTTTGTTTTGTTTTGTTCCAGATGAGGCATCCTCCGAAGACCAACCCGAGGAAGACTCCCAAACGTCCATCCCGGAGGGGGCGGAGAAATCTCTGGACCACGACTCCCAAGAGGTGGACGAAGAGGGGGGCTCACCAGAAGCCACGCCCAGAGTGGAGGAGCTCCAGGAACAAGAACGCAAACGCCCCGGGGAAGAGGTTGAGAACAACGACGAGGTCAGCCCGGCCAAGAAGGTCATGTCAGAGGTCAACGCAGAGGCGTCGTCGGGCAAGACTGTCGGATGTGAAGAGTGAATCCCAAAGTCCGCAAAAAATGTATGATGGCTAATATCAGATTTTTTTTTTAAAGTGATCACAAAAGTAAATCACAAGTCAATCCAGTCTCATGTCACTAACAAGCTGGGCAGGTGTCACATGAGATTTGGACTCCTTTGAAATTCCGTCCCTTGTACCCTATATCAGTGACTGCTCATTGCTCTATCGCCAAGCCACGCACAATACAGTCAATGAGTCTGTATTTCATAGGAGTCCAAATTTTAAACTACACCGGGCCCAACTTCAAGGAACTGCTCGAGAGAAAAGATGGCCTAGCACAAATTTATGTGTCCAACAAGATTCAGCTGAGAACCATTTCTGCTTGTATGTTTTTTGTTTTGTTTTGGCTAAGCAACTTTTTTCTGTACCTGGCAAATGTTTGTGCTTGGCAGTGCAGTGACGTTGGCCAGTGTTCACATCATGAGCTTTGCTGCAGGCATCCCACTGTAATAGGTTCACGCTTGGCATGAAAAAAGGCGAACACAAAAGTTGGACATCACAAAGAATTCAAGCAACAATATGAACAACTTTCAGGAGCAGGTTTGTCTCAGAATGGGATTCAGATGGGGGTTTAGCAGGCATGGCATGGACTTTTTTCTTTCCTGTTTTCTCTTCTTTTTGTTGCCCAAGGGAGGGCGGGGGGGGGGGGGGGGGGAGGAGTTAAACCCCCTTACCACCCCCCTCGAGAAATACTTGTGTTGAATTGAAACTTTAAAGGAACAAAAACAACATAATCATTTTCCAGACCATAACTCAACAGATACCTGTTGTGTATAATTGCAATTTTGTCTACTTATTGGTCGGGATGTTTAACACAAACCCACTAAATTTCACAAGGAAATGTCAAATAGTTTAATACAATCAAAACAATAGAGTGTGGTCAGTGTGAAAAATACAATCCGAATTAAGGTCAACTGTAATAGAACAAAAACAACATACATGTTCTCCGAACGATAACTGTTTGGTTGGGATGTTTTTCACAAACCAGTTAAATTCAAAAGAAAAGGTCAAACATTAAGTTTGATACGAACAGTAGAGTGTGGTCAGCGCATAAACCACAATCCTAATTAAAGTCAAATTTACTTGAACCAAAAAACCACACTTGTTTTCCGGATGATAACTTAATCAATCCCTGTTGTATTGAACTGAAATTTTGTCTTTTGATTAGTCGGGATGTTTTGCCCAACCCTTTTAAATTTCATAAGAGAAGGTCGAACAATAAATTTAATACAACCATAACAATAGAGTGTGGTCAGCACAACAAACCTGAATTAAATTATTCCCTGGAATAAGTATGATCCAGCCTTAGGCCAAAAACAAAAATATAGTTCTGCAAAAATATGTAAATTCATATCAAATTTAATAAAGTTTTTAAGTGTATAGTATTGTGAGTTTTTGTGTAATTACCTCACATCTTGAACCTATATTAGTTAAATTTTAAATTTCAACGTTCATTATCTTAAATTTAATGTTGAGAAACCAGATGTTATGAATATCATTCCAAATTCATGTAGAAAACTCAAATCCATATTGTTAAGAAATTATGAATGTTCTGCAACTTCAATTGCAAAATTTCAATGTTAAGTCTCGTTGTAAACCTTTCTGCAAGCATTGCTTCAAAAGCTTCAAAACATTAATACCTCATTGAAACATTCTTGCCACCTTAAAATTTGGCTTTAGTAAGTTTGTTGCTGTTTAAACACTTTTAGCTAAGATCCCCCACCCAAGATTTAGTCAGGCAGATTGGTGCACAATATGATGGAATTGTTCATTTGATGATAAAAGCATGTAATTTGGCACACAGAGTATATAATGGGAGCAATTTTCGGCTATAGGGCCATCGCAGATTTGTCCTGTGAAAAAAATATCAGGATAACATGCATGGCCGCCATTGGGAAAATTTGGAAAATTGCTAGTTATTCTATGATATTTTGTCCACATCTGTCCAGAAATCGAGTTGGAATGTCTTCTAGGGTCCCTTGGGCATCTTTCCTGGAAGTTTGGGGCAATTTCATTTTTTGGCCAAAATTGAAAAAAAATTGCAAGGGGTTAGCCTTACATTTTTCATCAAATTTGGCCAAAGAAATGACTTTTCTCCAAACGAAGCAGAAATGTCAGTTGATGCAAGGAGAGTATCATACAATATTCAGACCAATATTATAGGATAACATGCAATGGCCGCCATTGGGAAAATTTGGAAAATTGCTAGTTATTCTACCTATATTTTGTTCAAAGTACAAATCTGCGACTGCCAAAAATCTTTCTCATGACATGCTCTGACTGTGTGCCAAATTACATGCTTTTATTATCAAAGGCACAATCCCATCACCAATCTGCTGTAGTAATTCTGATATCTTTTCCTGGAAAATAGATTGATTCCATGATTTTTTTAACCCTCCTAATTCAAATGGTTGATACCTCACAAGGGATACTTTACTGCAATTTGATACCACTACAATTTAGAAATTTCAGCAATTGATATTCAGTTGAGGTTTTTCCTGTCATTGATGAAAATACTTCAAATGGAACGCAGTAGATTATAAATTGAAGATTTCCAAAGACGCAAGACTTAAATGTGAGCTGATTTATTTGTGTATACTGCATGATTACAAATTATGCTAATTAATACAAAAGTATGTTTTGTTAAAAGGTTCATGTATAAAATGGTACAAAACTACAAAATATAGCTATAAAAAAGAATGAATGTTAAAACTATAAAAAAAAACTCTCATGATTATTAAGTATAGAATGCATGAATTAATTTTTGTTATACATGTAGAAGATTTTACTCTTTCAAGTTTCATGTTAGGCACTTTGCCGAGTTGATTCAGATTTTTTTTAAGCATTATGTATTAAGTTGTTGAAAAATAAATTCAGATTCTATGCAAAAATTAAACTGCTGTCTTCAATTTGTGATGAAACCAATCGAGATGGAACGTCTTCTAGGGTCCCTTGGGCATCTTTCCTGGAAGTTTGGCGCAATTTCATTTTTGGCCAGCATTGAAAAAATTGCAAGGGGTTAGCCTTACATTTTTTCATCAAATTTGGCCAAAAAAAAGACTTTTCTCCAAACGACGCAGAAATAACTTTTGATGCAAGGAGAGTATCATACAATATTCAGACTGCCATAATTTCACCTGATAAATATATAATATGATATATATAAAGATAAATCACCTGGCCACCGTTCAATTTAATACATTACTTAATTTTTGAGATGGTTTGTCGACCATGACTTTCGTTTCCGTGCAAAAAGTGTGGAAATGGTCTGTTTGGACTAGCTGGGACTGCACTCTAGCCAAATTTTTGTCCGCGTTTACACAAGACATTGTTGAGGGAGAGAACAACAATATTTTGTCTAAATCTTCCGTCTAGTTTGTCTATTTTCCATGATAAATCAGCTAGCCACCGTTCAATATAATGCATTACTTAATTTTGGAGATAGTTTGTCGACAATGTCTATCGTTTCCGTGAAAAAAGTGTGGAAAATGGTCTGTTTGGATTGGGACTGCAATCTCGCCAAGTTTTTCTCCGCGTTTACACAAGACACTGTTGAGGGAGAGAACAACAATATTTTGTCTAAATCTTCTGTCTAGTTTGTCTATTCTTCATGATAAATCACCTGGCCACCGTTCAATTTAATGCATTACTTAATTTTGGAGATAGTTTGTCGACCATGACTATCGTTTCCGAGCAAAAAGTGTGGAAAATGGTCTGTTTGAACTGGGACTGCACTCTCGCCAAGTTTTTCTCCGCGTTTACACAAGACACTGTTGAGGGAGAGAACAACAATATTTTGTCTAAATCTTCTGTCTAGTTTGTCTATTCTTCATGATAAATCACCTGGCCAACATTCAATTTAATGCATTACTTAATTTTTGAGATAGTTTGTCGACCATGACTATCGTTTCCGAGCAAAAAGTGTGGAAAATGGTCTGTTTGAACTGGGACTGCACTCTCGCCAAGTTTTTCTCTGCGTTTACACAAGACACTGTTGAGGGAGAGAACAACAATATTTTGTCTAGATCTTCTGTCTAGTTTGTCTATTCTTCATGATAAATCAGCTGGCCACCGTTCAATTTAATGCATTACTTAATTTTTGAGATAGTTTGTCGACCATGACTATCGTTTCCGAGCAAAAAGTGTGGAAAATGGTCTGTTTGAACTGGGACTGCACTCTCGCCAAGTTTTTCTCCGCGTTTACACAAGACACTGTTGAGGGAGAGAACAACAATATTTTGTCTAAATCTTCTGTCTAGTTTGTCTATGCTTCATGATAAATCACCTGGCCAACATTCAATTTAATGCATTACTTAATTTTTGAGAAAGTTTGTCGACCATGACTATCGTTTCTGAGCAAAAAGTGTGGAAAATGGTCTGTTTGGACTGGGACTGCACTCTCGCCAAGTTTTTCTCCGCGTTTACACAAGACACTGTTGAGGGAAATAACAACAATAATTTGTCTAAATCTTCTGTCTAGTTTGTCTATTCTTCATGATAAATCACCTGGCCACCGTTCAATATAATGCATTACTTAATTTTGGAGAAAGTGTGTCCACCATGACTATCGTTTCCAAGCAAAAAGTGTGGAAAATGGTCTGTTTGAACTGGGACTGCACTCTCGCCAAGTTTTTCTCCGCGTTTACACAAGACACTGTTGAGGGAGAGAACAACAATATTGTGTCTAGATCTTCTGTCTAGTTTGTCTATTCTTAATGATAAATCAGCTGGCCACCGTTCAATTTAATGCATTACTTAATTTTGGAGACAGTTTGTCGACCATGACTATCGTTTCCGAGCAAAAAGTGTGGAAAATGGTCTGTTTGGACTGGGACTGCAATCTCGCCAAGTTTTTCTTTGCGTTTACACAAGACACTGTTGAGGGAGAGAACAACAATAATTTGTCTAAATCTTCTGTCTAGTTTGTCTATTCTTCATGATAAATCACCTGGCCACCGTTCAATATAATGCATTACTTAATTTTGGAGAAAGTGTGTCCACCATGACTATCGTTTCCGAGCAAAAGTGTGGAAAATGGTCTGTTTGGACTGGGACTGCACACTCGCCAAGTTTTCCTCCGCATGTACACAAGACACTGTTAAGGGAGAGAAAAACAATATTTTGTCTAAATCTTCTGTCTAATTTGTCTATTCTTCATGATAAATCACCTGGCCACCGTTTAATTTAATGCATTACTTAATTATTTAGATAGATTGTCGACCATGACTATCGTTTCCGAGCAAAAAGTGTGGAAAA